GGTGAGATTTGAACAGCCGAACTGCAGAACTGCAGTCAGCTGAAGTAGCCTGCAGTGCTGCATTTAACCACTGCGCCACCTCGGCTCTTCAATTTTAAATGAGACAAATTTTAGACATCTGGTGGATATCAATTCAGAGAAGGCTAGAATGGACATGAACAACTGTGTTGCAAACCCCTGAGGGGCATATATGTAATTTTCATAAGATTATTATATTTAAATGTGAAACTGCCTGACAAACAAATATTTCCCAAAGAGGTACTGTACTGATTGTCGTCTCCCTTGCCTTGTTCTTGTGCCCCTTTTTCTCTTACAGTGCAGCAAGAGAAGGGCTATAGCAGTCTTCAGGATGAAGCCATGAAGATCTTCAACTCCCTTCAGGAGATCGAGTCCGTGTCTGACCCTATCCCCATTATCCAGGGCATCCTTCAGACCTGCCATGATCTCAGGGGCCTCCGCGATGAAGTCTATTGTCAGCTGATCAAGCAAACCAATCATGTGCCACAGCCCAACAGCCCTGGTAACCTTCACCACTGGCAGCTCATGACCTGTATGAGCTGTACCTTCCTTCCCAGCCGGGGAATCCTCCGTTACCTCAAGTTTCATCTCAGGAGGTAAGAGGTATTCTATGCACACTCGTGCTTATACCCGTTGCCCTTGGGTGTAGATCACAGTTGAAAGTTAAAACTAGACCAGTTGCTGGGAGAGATTCTGATCCATGCTTTATGTCCTGTATATTGTAAGACACCCCGCCCCCCATGAGATATGTTTGCATTGCCTCTCCTAACACTTAATTAAAGGGGTCCCCAACCTATGGGCCGTGGCCTGTTGACCATCGGGCTGTGTGAGTGGCTGGTCACCATGCACCCATCTGCACCCTCCTACTCGCACTAGTATTGCCACAAATGTTGTGCAGGCATTAGTGTTGCCACGAGCCTTGCACATGTTCAAGCATCGTCATGAGCGTCACATGCGTGCTCACAGCCTTGTTCGCACATGCACTTGCACATGCCCCTCCCACTTCCGGGTCACCAACCTAGAAAGATTAGGGAACTCTACTTTATTACACAGTTGTGCTCTTTATTCCCTGATGCCGTAAAAATGAAAACAATACTAGCCCTGTAGTCAGAAAACTAAGTAATTTATGGCCTTTGAATGAGTTTGGCTTCTTTTCTGCCACGTACAAATGATGAAGGGTTCTGAATCTCAAAACATGTTACAGGACACTGTATCTCTTCTTTTCCCATCCCAGAGTAAAAGATTTCTTTCTGGGCACGGAAGTAGACCAGTATTCTCAGTTCATCACTGATTCCCTGAAGAGAACCAAGAGCAGAGAATTTGTCCCCTCCCAGGAGGAAATACAAGCACTTATCGCGCGGGAGGAAATGACCACTACTGTCTATTGCCACGGAGGAGGTTCCTGTCAGATCACTATCAATTCTCACACCAGTGCAGGGGAGGTAAGAATAGAAGTTTTTTTTTAAAGTTGGGCTGCCTAGGAATCCTATAATTGCTCTCTTCACTGATTGATCCAATAAAGAATTAAAATATTGGAAATGGAAGCTCTCTCTTCCCTTCTGATCTGTAGTCCAGTTCCTTAGAAACTCTGCCTCAAAATGTAAGTCCTTTCTCCAATCTGTTTGTAGCCTTTCCCAATCACGTCTTATTGCCCAATTCCGTTGTTGAACAATGATAGAATAACTTGGTTGGGCTCAATTTTCCTACTTTCTCTCTACTTTCAGGTGGTAGAGAAGCTGATCCGGGGGCTGGCCATGGAAGACAGTCGGAATATGTTTGCCCTCTTTGAGCGTAATAAACATGTGGATAAAGCCATTGAGAGCCGGGTGATTGTAGCAGATGTTTTGGCCAAGTTTGAGAGGTAGGAAAAATCACTATACTTGGGACTTCAGGTGTGTGAGACATATCTGTAAAGTTGAGTGTCCATCATATGAAAATACCCATACAAATTATTTAGGCCTCAGCCCCTCTATTTAAGTTTAGACTTAGTTTTTTGCTAAGAATTTAGTATGTGTTTCTTGCTAAGAAGGCTATGGCTCATTTTCAATACCATGCTTCATATATCTACATTTGTACTCACACAGAGTTACAAATGAATCTTGGAAAATGGAGGATGAAGTGATTTCAAGCCTCTTCTGTCCCCCCGTGTCCCCCCGATGTGGGCCATATATTACCTAGCTATTATGCCTAAAGTCACTTGCCACAAGCAGTATCAACATCTCATAACTCATGCTGCTATTTGCAGTGATACAAAAATCTTGGTGGTGCACCATGTGCTGAGCTTTTCTAAATGTTGTGGAAGGAATGGCAAGAAGTTAAGTAACATACCTGTGATATCTTAGTCATCTTCTTGATCTGTAATCCAAATGATCACCAAACTCTCCTCCTATGTGTTTAGACTTTCTGGATCCATGGAAGAGGATGTGGACGGCCATTGGCAGCTGTATTTTAAACTCTATTGCTTTCTTGATGTTGAAAATGTTCCCAAGGAGGGAGTGGAATTTGCCTTTATGTTTGAGCAGGTAACCCTTCCATGAGACTGACTAAGCAGCTAGATTCATACAACTTCATTGGGTCAAAGATGGATGTAGCATGTTAGTAAATGACAGAACTTAAAAAGCAGTGGGGTTGGAGAGGTTTCCTTTTAGCCCAAGGAGCCTGTTTTAGGTGAAACTACCCTCCGTTTGTCAGCAATGCCAAGCAAACGTCCAAACTCAATCAACAATGGGCAATTTTTAAAAGCTCACCTAGTTAGTCCTTGACAAAAAATTGGAGATATTGGGAGGCTGAAAAACATGTCTATTTCAGAATTCAATACCAATAGCTTGAGGAAGCCTTCTAATGCAGCCAGTTGGAAAGGTGGGCAATGAAGTGATGAAGCCTTGCTTGCATTCCATAGGTAGGAAGCTTATTAAAAAACCAAAGAGAATTGGGAAAAATAGGTGGGAGTTCTATATTCCCTAAAATGGGAGTTTTTGATGCAGTTAGTGAGAGTATATCCTGCCAGGAGCATTGATCAGGACTGGGTTAGGAGCTGACTGGGCCAAGGATTTTACGTCAACACCTCAGGTAGTTGGTGTTTAGATGGATCAGACTGAGATGAAAAGAATTAGCCTGCTTTGGCACATTGCTGCGAACAAGCCAGATTGATTTACATTACCTGAGAAAACAAGACACGAATCAATATTGTAATTACGAATGAAATTCCAAAGTCAGGAGAGTCTATGCTATTGAATATCTTACAGGTTTTAATCATAATAGCTGCAAGCTCACATTTTGCACATTTCAGTACTAGTATCACCTGTGAGGTGTATCCTGAAATGTGATAGTATTTACTATACTGCACTCCACTACCTTATCTATATAAAAATGGCTGTGTGTATTTGTGCATCTTCCAGCATAACTCTGGAATGCCTTGAGCAATTTCAACCAGACTTGGTACACAGATTACTTATCCTCTGGAAACAAATACTGTGGGGGTAAGACACCCCTAACACCCCTTGGGGGTATGTTAAGAGCCTGTTGTGCCTTAAAATGGCTTCTACCGTACTGCCTTAAAATGGCGTCTACTGTACAATGCTGTGGAGTTGCTATGGTAACGGCTTCACAGTACTCCACAAGGCGGCTCCCTCTCGTAAGGGGGAAAAATCCAACATTACAACAAATTGCGGCAATGTTCATAGAAGCAGGGCTGGGATAAATAAATACCCGGGCAGCATTGGTTTATCAGCTAGTAAATAAATATAAAAGGCTGGGAATAATGGTTACTTCTGACTTTTTACCAGGCGCATGAAAGTCTCATTGATGGTCACTTCCCCGGCCCAGAGGAGACCCTGCAACACTTGGCATCACTGAGACTGCAGTATCTTTATGGGGACTATTTCAAAATCTCCTGGTCCCTTGACAGCGTCTATCCAGTGAACCGTCTGAAGTCAAAAATTCTGCAGTCGATGAAGAGTAGCGGCTCCAGCAGCCAAGTTCTGGAGAGAAGGCGGACTAGCTTCCTGGAGGGCACTCTGAAGCGTGGCTTCAAGACAGGCTCAGTGAAGAAGCAAAAAGTGGAAGAGGAGCAGATGGTAGAGATGTGGGTGAAAGAAGAACTGTCAGCAGCTCGGGCCAGCATCACAGAAAAATGGAACAAACTGCAGGGGTTGCTACAGCAACAGGCCATGGTGGCTTACATGGCAATCATGAAAGAATGGTCAGGTTATGGCTCCACCCTCTTTGACGTTGAGGTAAGAGCAGGTATGGAAGCATGTGTGGGGTAAAGCCCTGTGATGCTCAGCAGCAGAACTATCTCTGCATGCTTCCACCCATAGCCCAAGAGTCCTCCTGATGTTTTGTGTTTCCCCCCCACAATCTTGTAATTGGTTTTGGTGCGTGTGTGAAATACTGGCCTCTCTGTCCACCTGACATCTTCTAGTTCTGTGTTCCATTTGGACAAACAATCCAAGGAAGGAAACATAGCACGAAACAAAAGGTTTTGCCTTTTCAGTATTCCCAGCTGCCAAGGAAGGAAGGAAAGGAGGGACAAGGTAAAGAGGAAAACTGGGATGGCAATAAGGAAAAGAAGGAAGCTGGGGGTGAACATGCGGTATTGCATGTTGTTGATTCTAGTTTTGTGTTGTATTGTGTGAGATTCAGATGACACCTTTTGTATTCAGGATCATAGGAAAGTTACTTGGTTGCTGGGATCACCTGCTCGTCTTTTATTTTGTGACTGGATGTGCCCACTATGAAAATCACTTTGTGATCCAGCATTCCCACATTGCTGGGGGGGTTTTTTTGGTCATGTGCCCAGGATATTTTTCTAAAAATTCCTACTATGCCCCTTTGCTCAAATTGTCTGTAGATAATTCTCTCACACCTAAGTTAACAGTTTCTAAAGTACCTTTTATGCATGTTATTTTGGCATCTTTATTTTTTTCAAAAAATCTTTTACATGGTTGTGTTATCCCTGTTAGGAACGGTACCTGTTGTTCAATAACTTGCTGAAGAACTTGTATGAAGAAGTTCAACAGCAGAACTGGAGAGTCCCAGATTCAAATTATCACTTGGCTGCAGAAATATTCAACACTTAAGCTGGGATTTTAACAGGGGTGGTTTCTTTCAAAATTCATTGCTTCAATTACAATAGTGGCTCTTAATATGGTATATTCTGATGTCCTGTCTGGATAAAGGACTACGAAAGTGGGTGGAGTCCAATTGCTAGAGTTTGGCATTAGATGGTATACCGAGCATACACACCTGAGCTAGTAACTTGCTGGGGGTGGGGGCACTCTGAAAGACATTCTTAAATGATATATTTGTACTTTAAAAAAAAGTTCCAATTTCCTTCCCTTTCCAAAGTTCCCATTGCTCCTTTTCCAATTGATCCCACACATTAATAACTCTTAAAGTGACATTAGTGGCTAAAAACTCTCAGCACAAAGTGTAGAACAAGCTAAGGCCTGGATAATTTCATCTCCCAAAACTAATTTACTTACTTACTTACTTAGTCCCTCCCTCCCTCCCTCCCTCCTTCCTATGGAGACTTTTGTAGTTGGAAAAGTCCTTGTATTAAAAGATTGCATAGAAAATTTCTGAGTAAGAAAGAAGCCATTTTAATGTAATACTTTTCGCCTGTTGTTTTGAGAAATATTTTTTTAAAAAGTACTAGTGGTAAAAGACGGGTTGAAGGAGGCTGAGGCTGGAGCAGGAAAAAGGTCTGTTTATACATCACGTACTTCCTGTCAATTTTGGACAAAAGCAGTTTCCTCAGTTATACCATCCCTGTTTGCTAACACTTCTTGGTTCTTTTCATATAGTGCAAAGAAGGGGGCTTTCCAAATGACCTTTGGCTCAGCGTCAATACGGAGAATGTGTCACTGTACAAACGGGGAGATCCAAAGCCTCTGGAAACTTTCCAGTATGAGCAGATTATCTTCTTTGGAGCTCCTCAGCCCAACACCTTCAAGCTGACTGTGGATGAAAGAGAGATGTACTTTGAAACCCCCCAGGTACATTTTAGGACATTCTTGTCTCAAGAATTTAAACTGCTCAAAAATGACTCTTCTAAGGCAGGATGGGTTAGACCAATGGTTCTCAAACATTTTGATCACAGGACCACTTGACATTCTTAAAAAGGATTGAAAAAGGATTCTAGTACAGTAAACCTATCAATATATGTACTGTAAGGTAAAGGTTCCCCTCGCACATATGTGCTAGTCGTTCCCAACTCTAGGGGGCGGTGCTTATCTCCGTTTCAAACCCGAAGAGCCAGCAGTGTCTGAAGACGTCTCCGTGGTCATGTGGCCAGCATGACTAAACACCAAAGACACATGGAATGCTATTACCTTCCCACCAAAGGTGGTTCCAATTATTCTACTTGCATTTTTACATGTTTTTGAATTGCTATGTTGGCAGAAGCTGGGACCAGTAACGGGAGCTCACTCTGTTACGCGCCACTAGGGATTTGAACTGCCAAACTGCCAGCCTTTCTGATCGACAAGCTCAGCATCTTAGCCACTGAGCCACCGCGTCCCTATATGCACTGTACTAGGTATTAAAACTGAGAAAGCTTAGAATATTTGACTTTGCAGGCCCCCTGAAAGGGTCTCAATGACTTCCAGGAGTTCCCAGACCAGAGTTTAAGATCCACCAGGCTAGAAAAAGGATACGGCAGAGCAGTTAATTATATAACTTCAATTGGAAAGTTAGGTGGCTGGTAAGAATATCAGGCAATCCCTTCATAGACCATGTCTTCCTTTTGTTATTTGTTCCACGTTCAGAGCAGGAACAAGCTATAAATTTTTAATATATCTTTGGATAATCGTGGATATATCAGCAAGGGCTTCTGAGTTTTTGAGCAATAGTGAGAATGTCAGTTGGTCTTACCTGAACTGCATGTCTCGAAGGTGACGTGGGAGTAGTCACCAATTGGTATTAACACGGCCCATTTGCCCGGAGACAGGTAGAATTTGAGGCCACTTCCTCTACTCCTCCTCTTGACTCTCCAGATTAACTGATGGTCCAGTCGAGGCTGAACCTGGGAAAGAAGGGAACAGGAAAACACACCAACTCCTTCACTGGTCCCTGACTGACCAGTAACTAGCCAGCTCAGGCCCCTCATGTGTAGAGGCGCACTGAACAGTTGGGAAATGACTACTCCCACGCCACCTTCAAGACATGCAGTTCAGGTAAGACCAACTGACAGTCTCCAGAGTGGGGCATGGGAGGAGTCACCAATGGGACATACCAAAGCTACATGTCCATGGGAGGGATCATTGGGCCTGAGCCCACCGAGTGTCCAGCACTTCCTGAAGAATCCTCCTATCAAAGGATGCCTCTGCGGAGGCAGAGGCATCCAGCCAGTAGTGCCTAATGAAGGGCGAGGGCGAAGACCAGACGGATGCTCTACAAATATCCTCGATGGGTGCCTGGGTGGGCCAAGCCTTAGAGGTAGCCATGCTTCTGGTGGAGTGTGCGGTGATGCCCTCTGGCACCAGGAGCCCTCGCACCTCATAGGCCTTGGAGATTGATAGCTTAATCCATCTGCTGATGGTGGCCGGAGATACCTTTGCTCCTTGTGTCAAGGAGACAAAAAGCGCCTTCGACCATCTAAGGGCAGCTGTGCGCTTCAGGTAAATATGCAATGCCCTTCTTATGTCCAATCCTCTGGAAGGAGCTGAGCAGAAGTCCAGTAGAACTACCTCCTGAGCCCTATGAAAGGGGGAGTTGACTTTAGAAAGGAAGGCAGGATCAAGTCTGAGCACGACTCTGTTGTCGTGGAAGGTACAGAGATCTGTCCTGGTGGACAGAGCATTGAGCTCGGACGCCTTCCTCGTCGAGGTAATCGCTACGAGGAAGACTACCCTGAGTGTCAGAAACTGCAAGCTCACCTCCATCAGAGCCTGGAGGGCCATGGGAAGGTCCCAGGTGGGGAAGCGGTGGACCACCGGAGGCCAAAGATTCGCTGCCCCCCTGAGGAACCTCTTTAAGACCGGGTGCTGGGATAAGGATTGGGACCCCACCCCTCCAAGGACTGTGGCTAAGGCTGCGTTCTGCCTCCTGAGGGTACTGTGGGCCAGCCCTTTCTCCAAGCCATCCTGGAGGAAGTCCAGCACTTGAGGGACTGAGGTGATGTCGGTTCTACCTGCGCAGACCGACACCGGGCCACAAAGGAAGCCCAGATCGCATCATAGATGCAGATAGTAGAGTTTCTTCTAGCCGCCTCGATGGTTTTGATGACCCTGGCAGAGAATTGGGCCTCCCTTAGCTGCTCCCACTCAAGCGCCAAATGGTTAGGTGGAGCCATTCTGAGTCCGATTGTTCCAGGCTCCCCTGGCGCAGGGCCACCTCCTCCCGTGGGATCCTCCAATGGGGAAAAGTCGACATCACCACCAGGTCTGCCAGGGCCACTAAGGGGCCACCAGGATGATCTCTGCTGTCTCTAGCACTAACTTCCTCAAACCCCCAGGAAGTGGGGGGGAAAGGCATAGAGAAGTTCCGACGGCCATCTGCAGCACAAGGCATTGATGTCCACCACTTCTCGAGTTGGGAACCACGAGATGAACCTCGGAAGCTGGGTGTTTGACGGGGAGGTGAAGAGATCCATTGTCGGCTGACCAAATCTCTGGCAAATCCGCTCGAAGATGCTGGGATGAAGCTGCCACTCTCCATGCTCTACTGTCTCCCTGCTGAGCCAATCCGCCTGTTGATTTTCCACGCCGGAGATGTGTTCCGCCCAAATCGACAGGCGGTTCTGTTCCACCCAGTTTCCAAGCCTCGCTGCCTTGTCGTGTAGTGCCATGGAATGCGTGCCCCCCTGCTTGTTCATGTGTGCCTTGGCCGCCACATTGTCTGTCAGAATTAGGATGTGTCGTCCGGCCACCATCTCCTTGAAGTGCCGCAGAGCCAGGTGAATCGCTCTGAGCTCCAGCCAGTTGATGTTCTTCCGTAGGTCCATGGGAGTCCACTGGCCCTGAGCTAACTGGAACTCCAGGTGTGCCCCCTAGTCGAACAGACTTTCGTCCGTCGTAAGGACCAATCTGTCTGGTTCCCTAAACAGGGAGCCCTTGGCCAGAGCCTGAGACATCCACCATCGGAGGGAATGCAGCACCTGGGGTGACATGAGGACCTTGAAGCTTGTGTCGCTCGTCCCGTCCCGCTGATGTGGAAGCAGGAACCACTGCAGTTCTCTGGCGTGGAGACGGGCCCAGAGCACTATCCCAATGCATGAGATGAGCTTGCCAAGGCACCTGGAAAGAAGAGCTACGGAAACAGAGCGAGACTTGCGAATCTCTTGAATCAATTCTACAATACTGTCCCTGCGTTCCTGAAACAGGAACACCTCACACTCCACCGAGTCAATGATGGTCCCCAAATGTTGGAGCCTGGTGGTGGGAACCAGGTGGCTTTTCTCGAGATTGATCGAGAACCCAAGGGACTGTAAGGTGGTGATAGTGAGACCCAGATCCCTCTCGGTCCGGTCAGCCGACGTGGCTAGCATGAGGATGTCATCAAGGTAGCAATGTAACTGGACCAGATGGGCTTAAAGATGAGCTGCTGCCACAGCCAGTACCTTGGTGAAGGTCCTGGGGGCAGAGGCCAACCTGAAGGGGAGGGCCCTGTATTGGTAATGGGTGCCCCCATATGAGAATCTAAGGAACCTCTGGTGCTCTGGGGCAATAATGATGTGTAGATAGGCTTCTGTGAAATCAATTGAGGCTAGGAAGTCCCTCTGCCTGATCCCTTCCAGCATAGACTTGAGGGAAGCCATCTTAAGGTTATGGTAGACAAGCCTGGAGTTTAGCAGCTTGAGATCCAAGATAGCCCTCCACCCCCCTGAGCTCTTGGGGACGACAAACAAGTTTGAATAGAATCCTGACCCCTTTTCCCCCTCTGGAACCAGCTCCACTGCCTTGATGTCCAGTAGGTGCCGGATGGCCTTGTGCATGAGGAAGCGCTTGATCGGGTTCTTGGAGGAGGGGAAGATCTGGAATCTATTTGGGGGATGGGAGCGGAGTTCCAGCCACAATCTAGATCTAACAGTTTGGAGTACCCATGCATCCGTGGTGATGCAATCCCAGCGATCCGCAAACAAGGAGGGGCGGCCGCCAATCAGGTGATCCGAGCTCGAATCACTTCTGCCCGCGGAAGGGGAGGCTGCTGGAACCGGAGCTCCTTCGGTTCCACGCGCTCCGCAGCCACGCCACCGATCTGCGGCACAAAGGGCTGGCCCACCGCCGAACAGCTGGGGCCCTCCCCGGATCTCTGGCAGAGTACAGGCCCAAGTAAGCACTCCTGGGCACTGGTAATGGTACTGTGCCCCTGCGGCCTCTGAAATTGGAGCACCGATACCTGTGCTCCACCACGTGCGCCTCTCAACAAAGGCCGCCATCCAAGATAGTGACTGCCGATCACACAGTCTGATCACCTGATCCAGCTCCAACTGAGCTGCTCTCTTCAAATCTGTCCCCGCGATCTCATCCGCTGAAAAGGAATGTGCGGTGCAGTGCCCTGCGGCCCGCGGCCTGGGGCCACCCCCCATCCGTCCAGCGGCTTGGAAGCTCCCCACTAGCGCAGCAAGACCAGCTTGTGCAATAAAGGCAATTCACAGAGGCTCAGATGAGCAAGGTGGAATGTATCAAGAATTAGGAAGGAACAAATGAGGAAAGGTGATTGTCTCGAACCAAATGGAGAGCCCACAAAAAGTACTCCTTCTGGGCCGAAGACTGAGGTTAATCTGGAGAGTCAAGAGGAGGAGTAGAGGAAGTGGCCTCAAATTCTACCGCAGTCTCTGAGCAAATGGGCCGTATTAATACCCATTGGTGACTCATCCCATGCCCCACTTCGGAGACAAATAATTTTTTAAAACTGCCAGTTAGCTTTCTCCAAATTCTTTTTAGTGGAAAAGAAGGGAACTTCTTTTCTAAGATGATGATAGCAGTACAAATGATTTTTAAAATCTCTTTATTTATGCCTCGTATCTCAAGCTGTAAAATGGGCGTTTTAAGCACTTACTAAAACATTGAAGAAAGGTAGAATTTTAATAAAATTAATGACCTAAAACTATTTAGCAAGGACAATATCAGGACAGAAAGCTTTAATTGATTACTTGATTTAGTTTGAATACTTTCCATGTGTGTTTGTTTCGTCTTCTGTTACTTCCAGCCAGTGTAATTGTTATTTATGCTTATTGGAAATTATAGATGCTACACATCACTGCACATCTGGGGAACCCTAAATTTCATATTGAAGGCTTACATTTCAATCACAATCTAGCATGAGTCATGGGGGCGCAGTGGTGAGACTGCAGTACTGCAGGCTACTTCTGCTGACTGCCTGCAGTTTGGCTGTTTGGCTAAAGATTGACTCAGACTTCCAACCTTCCTTCCAAGGTCAATAAAATGAGGACCCAGATCAATGGAGGCAATATGCTGACTCTGCAAACAGCTTAAGAGACGGCTGTGGAGCAGTATATAAGTCTAAGTGCTATTTCTATTTCTAGCATGGTTGGTTTGTAAAATATGCCTTCAACTTGTCTTGGACCCTGTGAGAATCCACAGTGATTTCATAGTTTACTAAAGATGTCTGATAATTATCTTTTATTTCATTAGGTGGGAGAAATAATTAAAATCATGAAAGCCTACATCAACATGATTGTGAAGAAATGCTGTAGCATCAGATCGGCCACCAGCTTGGACAGCCATGGGAGTATCTGGATGAGGTGATTGGATTTGCAGAGTGAATTATGCTGCTGAGAAGGATCTGTGGTGTGACTCAGCCAAATTTGTAGCAGATTCGTTTTTGTAAGAAACCGTTACTCCAGAATTCTCCTTCCAGCATCTGCCTGACAAATGAAGGGTCAGGGTTGAACATCCAGACCTTTCATAATTAAAATCAGAACATCACAGGCTAGATCCTGAGACAGTTTTATGTGGGTTTTTCCTGAGCCCACTCTTGTGGGTCAGATCTTACTGCAAGGACAACACAAGAGCCATTTTTTGCTTGAAAGATCATCATGTGAAAACCTTTTCTGCAATAAAAGCAGCAGGAGAGTTGCTAAGTTAATATCAGCAAGAATTCCACATCCGAAAGAGATTTTGTTAGCTCTTCTCCTTGGGTGGAGCATGTGTGATTTCTCAGGAATGAGCTGCTACATCTCAACAGACTTCATCTTCCCAAGACTGTTACTATCTCCAGTGGCTTCAAGCAATGACTTCAACTTCCAAATCAGTTTTCAGTACTACGTCTGTAGGCTTGGGACTCCTGCTACATGGGAGATCAGCTTGTCACAAGACTGCATAATTGTAAAGACATGGCATTGTTCCTTCTTGAAGTCCTTCGTAATTTTTCATGCTGCATGTTTGGGGAAGTGCCACTTAGTAGAAAAATATTTATCTGATTCATTCAGAGGATAAAGTCAAATTTTATATTCATCTGTATGCTGTGAATTCTCTTTTCTTCCTTGGCAAGGAGTTTGGACTTTGCAGTATTTTTTTAATGTTCTTTTTTCTGCACTGCCATCATATCTAAGCAATGGGAAGAATTGGTGGCAGAAATAGCCTGAGTGCATTCTCCTCTGGTCTGATGCCTCCTAGATATGTTGATGAAATTGTAACTGAATATAACTAAAGGGTGCCAGGCTGGAGACAGATACTCTGAGCCTAAGGTTAAATGTGATTTGTGTAGAAAATAACACATTGGCTCACTTGCACTGAAAATATTTTTGAAAACCCTTACACATAATACTGTGATAAGATGCTCTGAATTCCTTGCTAAGAGAATAGAGGCTCTGAGCCCTCAATATTGTTTCTCCAAAATAAACAGGTTTATCTTCAGATCTAATTTACCTGGGTTTGATAGCAACAAGAAATAAAAGAAATTGGGGACATGATGAAGCCCGTCTCAAAATATGAATATCTGCCGCTCTCTTGGTGCTGTCCAGAGGCTTTGGATTAAAACTCTCCCAGCCCCTTTCTTGTGTCTATGGCAGCTGAGACTAAAAAGAATCAAAATATCAGAGCACAATGTTATCTAGCCTCTGTCCCAATGTAAGTATTATTTCAGAGTTTATAATTGAGAAATCCAGGCTCTTGAATTGTGCGCCCAATCCTGAATTTATATTACTTTCAGTCATAGTAAGAATGTTTGCCATTCCTAATACAGCTAAGCAACATTTCCCAGACTGGGCTTTCTCCTGATGCATGAACTTCAGCTCTTGGATGTCCCAAAGGGACTTTTTTTTTCTCCAAGAGACAACTGGACTGGTGATTTTTCTTTGAAGACATTTCGTTTCTTATCCAAGAAGCTTCTTCAGCTCCATAGACATTCAGCTCTTGGAGTTCTCCAGGCTGAGGAATGCTGAACTAGAGACTCCATCTACTACCTTCTGGGAATTTTTAATGCTGCATATTTGGGGAAGTGCCACTTGACAGAAAAACATTTATCCGTGGTTCATCCAGAGGATAAGATTACATTTTATGTGTGCTGCAGAAAGTCCAGCCCTCCCAGAACCCATAGAAAATAGAACTCTGCTAAGGATTTCCCAAGCAACGACCTTCCATTCCCTGTCTCTGGGATTGCAAATGAGGAACATGGCCAGATGAACAGAATTTCAGAAGACCACAATTGCCATCTTTCCATTCTCTGCCACAATGGAGGAACAATTAAGAGACTCCCCCAAATATTTGGTGCATGAATTGTGATTTATATCTGTCAGGCTGGGATCTAAACTTCACAACTCATCTACAGGTGAAACTCGAAAAATTAGAATATCGTGCAAAAGTTCATTTATTTCAGGAATGCAACTTAAAAGGTGAAACTATGAGATAAGACTCATTACATGCAAAGCAAGATAGTTGAAGCCATGATTTGTCATAATATTCTAATTTTTCGAGTTTCA